ATCACATCACAGCAGTTGATATTGACTGTTTGATATATTTTTTAAAAATTTATAATTTGTTTTTTCCCCCTATTCTTCTCTTATGATATGCGGCATTGTCACCAAGTGATGTCCAGTAAGGTGCCCACTAAGAGGATTCGGTCAAACGGCGTTAGTACCCCTTGTGATTCACCAGCCAAACTAAGAACTCGTCGCTGCCTACGAGAAATCGCTCCAATAACCACAGTGAACACTTAACCTTAGAGAACCACAGATCCAGAACCTTAGCCTCAACCAGGCACGTCTTCGCAAGAAATCGTTGAAGAATCCCCTTTCTTTTATCCAAACCCGTTCCAAGTGCTTCATAATGACAGAGAAGTAATGGAGTCAGCAGCAATACTCAGGGAACCAAGGCCTCATACGATATTTGTAAATAATATTAAAAATTTCCAGCTATTGTGTACACATCTAAACGAAATCTGCTCCGGCAGTTATTCTTGTCTCAACAGGACCGATGATACAAAAATAACACCCAATATTGCAGAAACCCACCAAAAAATTGTAAAGTACCTTTCAGAAACGAATGCAAATTTCCATATGTACCAGTTGAAAGAGGAGAGATCGTTACGAGTGATGATTTACACTTCTAAACCCCAACTGAAGTGATAAAAGAAGAACCAACGACGCTTGGTTTCAAAGTACGTCAGGTAACCAATGTTCTGAAGGAAAATAAGGAGCAGCTGAGAGTAAAAAATAAAGTTCCACTACCTTTATTTTTCGTGGACCTAGAGCCATCACCTGGTATTGAGAAAATATACGAAATCAAGAGACTGTACTACATTATCGTGAAAATAGAGAATCCATAAGAAAAGAAGAAGAGGGCGTCAAAAGAAAACGTGGAGCGACGCGTTTAAACAGTTGGCAGGACCCCTCTGGTGGAGAGCTGCAGAGAGAGGGATGTCTGAAAGGTGAAGTGGACGGAACACGCATCCCAATTAGCCCTAGAGCCAGGGCCCAAAAATCGACGCTAAATTTGATGTTCTATAACTTTGATTCTATGGGTTATTTCCCTCTTAGGGAGCTTATTTCCAAGTCATAGCGTCATTTATAGTAATCTGTCTCAGTTTTTGACAAATTTGGTAACAATCAGCGTTGGTTGACCCTGGTTTTATACCTTACCATGTAACCAAATTATTACGTTATGTACTCGTTCGACGCACAATTTAACCTTAATTTATTAACGAGTACATTTTTCGCTTTGATGCATCGTTTAGGAGTTATAGCTGAAAAAACTAAAAAAATATAGAAAAAATCTTTTTCGTTTTTCGAGTTTTTTGGCTGTAAAAAGTTTTCTCTCAGTGGCCCGCGTTAACATTTTTGTTTTTTACGTCTAACTCTGTATATGCAAGTTAAAATAATAAAAACTTTTCTCACATTTTTCGCAACGTATTTCCCGTTTCGATCCTCAAATAACTGCCCTAATATTCTTTAAATCAACCGCCATTTTTTAAAGTAACGCCTCTGGAACTATATACAAGATTCTTTTTACTCAGAATAACATACACTTTTGTAATTTACAATCAAGCCTTCGCCTGCGATGAGGTCTATTTTTAGGCCCTGGATCCAGGGCTAATTAGGGCTAGTCACCCCAAGAAGCGCCTGAACGTAATACAACCGCCCATGACTGTGAACTTGAAAGATAAGACCCCTTGAGGGGAATTATCTGCCATGTAATATATCTCTGACAAACGAGCACCAATTTAATGTTGCTAATTGTCAATAAAAAGTCACTCACCTCATTAATTGTAACGTAAAAATATTACACTTTTTAGTCTGAGAACCAAAAACCCTCCCTACATCTTAGAACTCCTCACTTTACGCTCTTGCCCACTCTCTCAACTTATATATATATCCCCTCCCATAAAATTACTTCCTTTTGGAACTCTCTACCTACCTCCTTATGTCAATCCTCTTCCATGAATTCCTTCAAACAACTCCTATTTCACCACCTACTCCATATTCAAACTTCTGCAAACATGTAAAATCTACTTGCTTCTGTACACTGTATAATTGCAAATATAATCAACAGTTAATTAAGCATAATTTTGCATACTTTGAGCCAGACTAATGTTCATAATTATGGAACTCCGTTATTATTCTTAAGGGAATATAGTCCCATAGTAAAATTATTTTTTCATTTACATGTTGCTATTGTGCTATATATTGAGGTATCATAGAATTTCTTGGTGGGAAGGTGCTATTTTCCTTTAGAGAAATCGACAATCCTGGTTAAAATTGGTAGTTTATGAGGTTCGTGAAGTCGAGGGTAAAAACAACCAGGTCAACAATATCTGAGGAGCTGGATACCCACTATTTCGGTTGAATTCAGCCATTTCTTCCAATATTTGGAAGTAATTCATGTACACCAATTAATAGATACATCATCATAACAGTTTTTATTGTGATTTCCTATGTTCTTATGTTTAATACATTTACCTCCGGAAGAACAGGACAAGAATCCACTTCAACCTGGTCTAGAGTTAGGTTATGTTTTCAACACTGTGGAATGATAATGATAAGGCATTGTTGTTTTTGTCATTTTTCTCCGATTTCCGAGGTTTGTAGCTCATTGAAATAGGTTTCATTCAAAAAGGCACGAAAAAAACGAATTAGCACAGAAGCCTAACTCATTTTCATTAAAAAATGAGTGAGGTGGTGATAGAATTTAAATGAACATTTATTAAAAATTTGTGTTTCAACATACAAAATAAATTACACCATCTGAGTCTACAAATTTATTTGTCTACAATGTGTACATACAACCAAATGGTTTGAAAATGTAACAAAATAAATTTTATTTTTCATTTATTTTTAATTATTACTAATTTAGGCTAAATTAAAAAAAAACAATCATTAAAATTATAACAACATTATTCCACATTTTTAACAATGAATAACATAAATTTGATGTTAAACAACTTTTTTTTAAATCAACCAAATAATCACGAACAAGTATGGCAGTTATTCATTCAATACTTTTTTTATTTAATTTGCATACTATGATTACATAAATATTAGAAGTTTGTTAACATAATTATTTTCTATAATGAAACAAGTGATAGGTATATAATAGAAATAAAAAATAACAAAATATTCAATGTGAAAACAAACATACCTCCATAACTGGTTATTAAAAATGTTCAAGTATGTTCCTAAATTATGATATATTTTAAAAATGCTTATCTATAGAAACGTAGAATTTCCCTTAGTTAATTGTTAAGTTTAAATTAAATTAAAATATTTTAAAATCACTAAAACTTTCATTTATTAAATTGCATGACAAATAATCTGACTGCCTGATTTTTTAATGAGGGTTTGTAAAATAATTCAATTATTGCTTAGGTCATAACAGTGAAAGGGTACATAAAGAGAAATCTTCAAAATAAAACCTAGTTTATTAAAAGAGGGATTCGTAATCTTACTTCTAACTTTTTCTTTCTTTCTTTTTATATCCTTGAATTAAACCAGGAGAAGCAATTAACTAAGGAAAAATATCTTTTCAAATAAAAGCTTAAAATTCCATTTTCATGTCATATAATTTCTTTGTCATTAAAAAATAAATTGTGTCTACATAAATATTGGATTCTATACATATATATATATATATATATATATATATATATATATATATATATATATATATATAAATATATACATATATATATATGTGTGTGTATATATGTAGTAAGATATATGATGCGCAGAATATTAATGTCATAAACTGACTCAATTAATAAAATGTTAATAAGATAACACAATCACATTTTAAATATGTAAATATTTTCGATCATTTAAAAATATCTGTTATATAACCAAAATAGTTTTGTTCCTTAATAGTAATTTAATTCTGTTAATTTTACATATTTACAATTGATTTCTTAAAAATATTTACAAGGGATGTTTAATGGGTAAAATCTAAATTCATTTCACTATCTTTCGTTTATCATTTAACCAAATTAAAACTGAAATGTTATAAAAAAAATTGCTTAACAAAGAAAGTTAACATGATTGTATTAAGTAAAACAATAAATTAAGAATATATATATATATATATATATATATATATATATATATATATATATATATATATATTTATCTAGCTAATAATGATTCAGATATGCTAATGAAAAAATGAACACATAAGCCAAAATACAACATATTTGTTATAAAGAGTTTCTTCTATATAAACATAAATCATGAAAAACGGACCACGTTAAAAGACATTTTGTACTTTAAAAATGTTTTAATACTGTAATTATTGAGATTTACTATATTGCACTAATATAACGGACATAAACAATCAAATAAAAATTAACAAAAAATAATCAATCTATAAATTTAAAGAAATTTTGCCTACACATCTAGTTATATAAAGAAAAAGTAAAAATGTTAAAATGTAATTTGCATTTGCTGAAATGATTATGTAGTTTCATGATTCATATCAATATAACTATCAAATTAGAAATTATTATCAAAAATATGTCTTTCAGAACACAGATTTTGCCACAAACATTGAAAATATGGTTAGCTCTATAAAAGTCTATTATCATCAAAATAAGAGGGTAATTTAATATAAAAATATATATATTAAAATTAATATTAAAAATATATGGCAATCTTATAACAATTGACTATCCATACTGTTAAATACATATTTATTTATTCTATTCAATAAATTATAAACTACAAGTTTATGCTGTCAAATTTTCTAAAGTAATGTGTCACTTAATTTGTTAAAAATAGTAACTATATACATTTCACAACTAAATTTAATAATTAACTATGCAATTTCCATTTAATTTTTATTCTGGACTTTGTTAATAAATGTGTTGTTCAATTAAATATTCACTTAGATAAAAAGAGTAAAAGCTAATGTTATTACCTGATTATTTATCAAAGTATAAATATAAATGCTTATCAATAAGGTATTAATTTATCTATCAAACATTAGTAAAATATCAAGCTTAAACAGGGTGGAAACTGTGAAAATAAATCAATAAGTTAGTAATAGTTAGGTCAAATACTACAATAATAATTCTAAAAATTGTTTATTAATATGAGGCACAATTTTTCATTATAAAAAATAAATACAATGCACATTTTGATAAAATTAAATAAAAAACGCACAAATGTGATATAAGTAAATTTTTTTATAAGTGGATTTAGCAAAATACTAGAATTTTATTTCTGCAGTTCTTTATCATATAAATGGAAAATGCTGTGCACTAGAAAAAAAAGGAAAAAAAAAAAAGATTAATGCACAAAAACTTGACTATATTATTTAAACAAAAATTTAGAAAAAATATTATGGTGATAAATTAACAACAATATTGATACAATCAACAAAGATGCAATAGAGCTGCATGCAGATAACTGGAAAGAAATAGCTCAAGACAGGCAGAGATGTAGCAGGTTTGTTAAGGTGGCAAAAGATCTACAAGGTCTGTAAGGCAAAAAAAAAAAAAAAATTATAAAATTAACAAAAAATAAATAAATAAAGGATCATTTTGTATTTTTTTTCATTGAGTTCAATTAAAGTAACAGAAGCTCATTGGGGATTGCACAAATAATTGTTTATTTTCTTTGTGACGTCATTTTGACTTAAGTTTTAAGCCTTCATCAGGCATAAGCGAAGATAATGTCATGAAAACTGTTGACGCCAACATATGATTATTTTTATTTATTTTCACCATATCAATATATGGGGGTTAATTTTATTTTGTTTATAAATACCTAGATTATTTATTTCCATATCATTACATGGTAAACCTATTTGTTTGTAAAATCACATTACTAAATATTATATGTACAAGCATTATATATTACGTACATATCCGAGACGTCCCAGCAACGATGCTTTCGGCTACTTCCGGGTCAACCCCCATGCCTCTTGTCGTATCACTTAATACCAGAGGCAAAAAGAAAACATTGCTAAATCAGTATGGCTGCTGGTAGCACTAAGTTAAGAACTGCCTCCATGAGGTTCTCCATCCCGTCACAATTCTTCCAGGCAAACCCATAGTTTCATCTCACCAGGTTATGACGGCGACTTCCCACATCTGGAATATTATCATCCAGCAAAGAGGACTCCCGTCAGCTGCAACACTGATGTTAAAACACAAAATATGACTGGCCGGCTGGAGGTGAATTTGTGTATCTTAATTTAGAACATTTTAAGGTGAGTGGCGCCCCTTTAAAAACATTAATGACCACACAGGTCTCAAGTGTTATCAAAAAAGCGAAATAAAAACATTATTTCTTAATTTACACCTCATATGAGGCTAAACTCTGTCTTGTACACTGCTTCATGCTCTGTATCATAGAATTACTTATAGTGCAGTGGCTAGCATACAAGTCTTTAATAGTGAACTTTCTTGGATCAAGACCGGTTACACCATAGCCCTTTTTATTATGATTATAAAATATAATTTTAAATTTATATAAATTTTTCTGTATCATCTCAAATCGATTAATTTTATTTAACATTTAAATTAAATTCGTGGTTTTACAGTTCGTATTTTTAAATGGTTGGTTTAACAGTTAAATTAAAATCTTATTGGGGGATCTTATAGGGGGAGACATCGAGACCCCGGACTTTGAGGAAGTAATGGATGCGATTTTTCGCACGAAAAACAATAAGGCGCCGGGATCGGATGGATTGCCAGCAGTATTTTTAAGAGCTGAGTCGTATAAATCACTGTCCTATAAAATCCTGACAATTTGGGACCAGGAAAGAGTGCCACAACAGTGGATTAATGCTATAATATGTCTTCTTCGTAAGAAAGGAGAACAACTTGATTGTACGAACTACCGTGGTATAGCCCTATTGTCTTGTGCCTACAAAATCCTCTCGAATGTCCTTTTCAGCAGACTTACCCCATTTGCGGAATGGGAAATCGGAAGATATCAAGCTGGCTTCCGGAAAGGCAGATCCACTGTTGATCAAGTGTTCACCCTTAGAACAATTTTGGAACGGGGTCATGAATATAAAATCCCTACACACCACATGTTTGTCGACTTTAAGAGTGCATATGACAGCATCAAACGACCTAAGCTGTATGAGGCATTGGGAGAAATGGGTATCCCATGCAAACTGATACGTCTCGTGAAGTTGACAATGAAAGATGTAAGGTGTCTGGTACGGATCCAGTTTGACTGCTCTGAAGCATTTGTCTCCAACAAAGGATTAAGAAAGGGGATGGACTGGCCTGTCTCCTCTTCAATCTTGCACTGGAGAAAGCTGTACGGGATTCAGGAATCCAGACATACCATATAATATTCGCCCATACTGTACAGATATTGGGATACGCTGACGATCTGGATATTGTGACCAGGACCCGATTGGCATTGGTAAAGGCCTTTAGGAAACTCAAGGACGCTGCTTCATGGTTGGCCATAAACAAGAATAAAACGAAATATATGCACGCAGGGACTGGTAGCGACGAGGAACTGAGTGTTGGCCCATACACATTCCAAAGGGTGAACGAGTTTACATATTTGGGATCTCTAGTAATTCCAATGAACGATGTATCTGCTGAGATAAGGAAAAGGCTGGTGGCAGCAAATAGGGCATATTTTGCCTTAATGAAAACTCTCCGCAGCAGATCCATTATCAGGAGCATTAAACTGGTCATATACAAGACTCTTATATGTCCAATTCTTACCTATGCTTTCCAATCTTGGACCATCTCAAGAAGTGATGAAATTAATCTTTTGATTTTCGAAAGAAAAATCTTACGGCGAATAGTTGGTCCAGTGAGAGATGGATATGGATGGAGGATTAGGAGGAACGGGGAGCTTTATGACCTTTATGGAGATATGGACGTTGTAAAGTTTATAAAACTGGGGAGGCTCAGTTGGGCTGGTCATGTCGCAAGGATGAAAGCGGAAGAAATTCCTAGAAAAGTAGTGGACACCGCCCTTCACAGTACACAATGGCCTGGTAGGCCAAGGCTTCGATGGGTTGATGGGGTGGCAGCAGACCCACGAAGCCTGCTATGGATCAGAAACTGGAAAGCGTCAGCACAAAATCGGGCTGAATGGCAGCAGCTCATTGAGGAGGCCAAGACCCGCCCAGGGTTGTAGCACCACATAGATAGATAGATAAGTTGCATTGAATGAGGTTAGGTTTCTTTTTATTTTCTTGTATGGGATGTTACTGAGATACAAAATCCAAGTTTTCGAACTCGGCACACCCATGGATCACTTTTGAATATTCCAAAAACTGGTATATTTTCGCTTTTTTTTTTTTTGTTTTTTCCGACTTCATCTATGAAGCAACATGTTTTCGACAAAACCATTCTATACACTTTTTAACTAGATTAAATATGCTACGATTTAAGACCAGAATAGCCTAACATGATAACGATTTTTTACTATGCACCTGAAGGACCATGTTTCATTTATTTATTAAAAATTTTAATGATATCTCAGTTCTGAGGGCTCAATGTTTAATTTATTATTAAACACGGTTCTAGCAAAAAACGATAAACGTTTTGATTTATTTTATTATGTGGCCTATTATTTTATGATTTATTCATTAAAGAATTTAATGAAATCTTAACCATGAGGACCATTTATTTAATTTATACTGTTAAAACCACGTACAAGGAAGCGTAAGTAGGAGAATGGAGATAAATGGAGCAGATTTCAAACCCATTAAGGACAGCGGAAGCGGTCCTGGGAATGAGACGGATTGAGGCAAGAAGGGAATGGTTTGATGAGGTGTGTCAGATGGGATTGAGGGAGAGGAATAAAGCAAGAATGAAGATGCTGCAGAGAAATATGAGGCAGAGGAAGTCTATAACACAAAAAGAAGGGCAGCCAAGACTATTTGTAGGAAGAAGAAAAGAATGATGGAAAGAAGCAAAAGTGGAAATGCTACAAGCTAAATGGGAAACAAAACAGTTAAAAAAGTTTTACAAAGGGATCAGAGAATTTAAACATGGTTTCCAACCGAGGACAGGTGTTTGCAAAGATAGAGAAGGTAACATGGTGGTAGGGACTACAGAGGTACTGGATACTTAGCGACAATATTTCCAGGAACTTCTGAATAGAGATGAAAACACAGTGAGGAATGTGCTGCATGGACGTACACAAGAGTGGCGAAGATGATGTGGAGCCTCCTGATTATGAGGATTTCGTGGAAGTGGTTGAAACACTTAAAAACAATAAAAGCCAGGGAAATGATGGCATTGACGCGGAAATGTTGAAATATGGTGGAGAGGACCAACTAAAGAAAGTATACAACTTGTTGTTGGAGGTATGGGCCGAAGAAAAAATGCCGAAAGAGTGGACAGTAGCTATTATCTACTCAGTTTTTTAAAAAAAATGAGATAGAACTAAATGTGAAAATTATAGAGGTATATCTCTCCTGGGGATAGTATATAAAGCATTTTCCTCGCTCCTAAATAAAAAGTTACAATTATGGTCCGAACGTATTCTTGGCGATTATCAATGCGGTTTCAGGCCTAATAGATCTACAACTGACCTAATATTTTCCGTCAAACAGATGTTGGAAAAATGCAATGAATATAATGTAGATCTTCATCATCTTTTCATCGATTTTAAACAGGCTTATGTCAATAGAAACGAATTATTGAAAGCAATGGTCACTTTAGGTGTACCGAAAAAGTTAGACTAACAAGCTGATTTTTACCAAATTTGTCAAAAACTTAGACAAATTACTATAAATGGCTCTTTAACATGGAAATGAGTTCCCTTAGAGGAAAAACTCGAATCGAAGTTGTAGAGCATCAAATTTTGCATCAACTGAGTACTGACATTTTTATTGTAGGCCAATTATATATGTCGAATCGGCATTCGTTATTCCTTTAGAAAATTCGGTATCTTTAGACACATCGTTTACCAAAACCCTTTGCTGTTGAGAGATGGAAAAGAGGCTTATACTGCATGTAACAGACTCAAAACAAAACTAACTCAGTAGAATAGACACCCATACTGTTGAAATACTGAAAATCACGTTTACCTTAGTACCAATTTCTAACCATCGGGAGATTACCGATTTTGTTCGCAGTAAGTGACTTACATTAAATTAGTTTGTACTAAGTTGACACAAAATTTGATGCTCTACAACTTTGATTCTATAGAGTTTTCCTCTAAGGGAATTCATTTCCATGTTACAGAGCCATTTATAGTAATATGTCTAAGTTTTTGACCAATTTGGTAAAAATCAGCGTCGGTTGACACAAAATTTAACATTCTTTAATTTATTAAAAAATACATTTTTCGCTTTGATGCATCATTTAGGAGTTATAAGTGAAAAACCCAAAAAAATATCGAAAAAATCTGAGTTTTTTGGCTGTAAAAAGTTTTTCCTTGGTGGCCCACGTTACCAAATTTGGTTTTTTACATGTCTGAACCCATATATACAAGTTAAAAAACTTTTCTCACATTTTTTACAATGTATTTCCTGTTTCGATC